CGGGGCCCCCTGGGCCGGCGCGCGCGGGGCCAGGCGAGCCCGAGTGCTTCGAAACCGCTCGAGCCCAGATGGCCGCGCAGGAGGAGGAGGAGACGGAGGAGGAGCGCCACGCCCCGAGGGGCAAGTGGGGGGCGAGAGGAGATCAGCCCGCAGGCCGCGGGGAGGGTCCTGACAGTCTTCGCGGGCGCTCTCTGCACCCAGCACCTTGGGCGAGGGCGCGGATGGCTGAATTCCGCCCGACGATGGCCGGCGGCGGGCACGCGCGAATTGGACAGCACGCCTTGGGCAGCGCAAGCCTTGGGCGCGGGCAGCATTGAAGGCGGAGTATAGCGCGTCAATTGCGACGGCGTGGGAATTTGTTTCCGCGAAAATTCGCATCCCTGAAACAGGGGGGAACGACGGCGAGATGATCTGATTCCCCAGTTTCAGGGAGGGGCAAACGGCGGGCGAGAAAATAGACGAGAAAATAGAGCGACCAGATCAGCCATTGGCTGATCTGGTCGCCGGCAAGGTTCTGACATCCGAAGTGGCAGCATTATGTGGCTCGTCGGAATCTGCGCGCGGTGGGCCACGCGTTAAAGATAATCCGAATCACAGCCGTAGCACAAAAAAATGGATGGGGGCGGGAGCAGATGAGTCACCTACTCTGGATCAGACCGAGATAATGTCGGGTCGCATCAGGGTTGCAACATCTCACGCGAGCTCCGATGAGTCCTCCTAGATGTACTGTACGACGGGTAGTTTACTGTAAATGACCGTGGCAAGTGATTGTTGGAGGCGGCGAGGGCGGGCATCCAGGGGGAGACAATCAAACAGGCTGTCATCATATTGTACGAAGACAGAGTTGGGGAACATGGGATGCGCGTGCCGAACAGCAATTAGGGCATCGTCAGTCAGACTCCATCGCGCTTTGCAGCCAAGCCCGCATTCCGTGGGGCGCGGCGCTCTGGTCGGCGGCGCGGAGCAAGGCCGCCCGCGAGACGGCGAAGAGACACGCGGAGTTTGCACCGAGGCCCAGCGATGCCATACGGAAGAAGACCTCAGGAGGAGACGCGCGGCGAGGGGCAGGAACGAGTGCTCGATGGCACTCGCGTTCCTGGGCCTCGGCAAAACTCGGGAGCGGTGGGAACTAGGAAATTCGGCTGCAGACTGGGGCTGCGCAAACATTGCAGGCCGCGATGCGTCGGGCGAGACGCCGCCGAGTTGTCTGGCCCCATGGGCGCGAGGCGCAAACTATTTGACGCGGGCGCGCCGGGCGCCCTCATCAGCATTGCGGCGCACAGCGACGCGCGAATGCACGTCGCGGCCCTGGATCCTGAATTTTGCAATTTCAGCCCGAATCCTTGCAAATTTCTGAATGATGTTCCGAGGGCCCTCGTTAAGTCTCGCGCGGGGCGCGCGCTCGCCAGCGTTGAGGACAGGGCCTGCGACCGAGCCAGCGCGGACAAGGAGGCGGAGCACCGCGGGGAAACTCTCGAGCACGTTCGCGCGCGCGAGGGCCAAATCGTTGGCGAACGCCGCCAGACAAAATCCCACCAGCCCTTTGGGCGTGAGTGGTTTAGAGAGCCCGCTCTGTCCTCACCCCCCCTTCTTCCCCTTCGGGGAGGGGTTTACCCCTCCCCCTCCCCCCTCCCCCTGGGCCTGGAGAGGGGGTCCCGCGGGTCGTCAGGGGGGTCAATTTCGACTCCTGGGAGGGCTAAAAAACGACACCCCTCACGAGGATTCTGCCCCCGACGGGGGGACCGAGAAAAAACCCTCTCCTCTTCTTTGAAGCCAGAATCATTGATTTTACTACGGTTTCGGCCCCATTTTGGCCTTCTGAGGGGGCAGCGCTCCTCTTCCTTCATAGCAAAATCATTGATTTTACGAAGGTTTTGGGCTCATGTTGTCCTTCTCAGGGGGCAGCGCTCATTTGCGCTTCTGAGGAGGTCGCAAGAGGCCCCAAGATGGCCCCAAGAGGCCCCCAGGAGGCTCCCAAGAGGTCTCCCAAGAGGCCCCAAGAGGCCCCCAAGAGGCCCCCAAGAGGCCCCCAAGAGGCCCCAAGAGGCCCCAAGAGGCCCCCAAGAGGCCCCCAAGAGGCCCCCAAGAGGCCCCCAAGAGGCCCCAAGAGGCTCCAAGAGGCCCCCAAGAGGCCCCACGAGGAGCCCGAACGACTCACACCAGGACGAGGGGCCCGAACGACTCACACCACGAAGAGCCCGAACGACTCACACCACAAGGAGGGGCCCGAACGACTCACACCAGGACGAGGCGCCCGAACGACTCACACCACGAGGAGCCCGAACGACTCACACCACGACGAGGGCCCCGAACGACTCACACCACGAGGAGCCCGAACGACTCACACCAGGAGGAGGAGCCCGAACGACTCACACCAGGACGAAGGGCCCGAACAACTCACACCACGAGAAGCCCGAACGACTCACGCCAGGACGAAGAGCCCGAACGACTCAAACCACGACGAAAAGCCCGAACGACTCACACCAGGAAGAAGGGCCCGAACGACTCACACCAGGACGAGAGGCCCGGAGACATGCGGGGGCAGGCGGAAACACGCCTGAAAAACACGACTGTCGGCATGCTTCGCAAGAGTTGCTGTTTTGAGATGGGCTGGTGGGGATACGCGAAGCGTGAAGAATTCACATCGGCATTGGAGGCCCTTGACGCGACGAATCGCGGGGTCCAGAATGACCGCGAACATCGCGCCAGCAAGTGAGCACCCCTGCTTCATTCCTCTTGTGGCCCAAAATCCGAATGCGCTGGGCCCAGTAGGGCCAGCGAATTAAACGCGCTGATGTAGAGCTGCCCAATGTCTGCGAGGATCTCACACGGGGGCCCCACCTCGCCCATCACCTCGGAGATCCACAGGCGAGCGGCGCCCGGGAACGCCCGGCGCAAATCGAACGGGCAGCCCCCATCATTCAACTGCCGAAGGGCGCCGGCCCATCCTAGCAAGTGGCCGCCAACAAAAACGCGAGATTCCCACTCAGACTCCTTCCAATGCCGAATCTTCTCTTGCTGGAATCCGCAATCTCGGCGGCAACTCTTCGAGGGGCTGGGCAAGGGCAGAGCGCGCAATGTTGCTGTCCGCGCTGGAGGGGGAGAGGGGGCGGGCGCCCCCGGGGGAAGCGACCCCCCCCGGCCCCGCGGGGGCGGCGCCTCCAGACAGAAGCGCACGCCTGCAATATTTAAACTCCGCGTCCGCGTCGAGAAACCCATCCGAGAGAGGACGGAGGTAGGAGGAGTGGAGCGCCCGCTGGTCGGGCGAACTCGCCGCCTTCCAGGCAGCGCGCGGGGCGCCGCCTGGCTCTGCAGCGGAGTCGCTCTTGGCAAAGACTCCCTGACTGAAGGGGGCTTCAGAAGGGGGTCCAATCGCGGCGCTGATGGGCAACGTGCCGCTCGCCCGAACATCGACAACTTGGGTGCAGTCTAGGCGCGGGTCCTCGCCCTGGAAATCTGGGACATCGGCGAAGATCTTGCCCCGGCACAGAAATCGCGCGGTCGATCCCGGGCAACTCGGGGGACCCCGTGAAAGATGCCTTGGGCGCCCGCGACGCCCGCGAGGCGAAGCGCGGGCGCGCTCGCAGCCCGCGCAGAGGCAAGACGGCGGATGCGAGCTAGAGCAGCGGCATGCTCGTCGCCATTGATACCTGGGTATTGGGGCACTCTGCTTCCCTTCAATCAAGCATGCGACGGTGGCGCTGGCTGAGAAGATCGCGAAACTCGAGCCAGCCTGTCCACGCGGGAAAGTCGCAGTCAAGGCACTGCCCGGACTCGAGGCAAACGCGACAAGCGCGGCGCGTCTAGCACGTGCCTCAGCACGCCGGCAGCGGGCTCGCAGCAGCTAAATTCACACGCGCGCGGGACGCGAGGCACTCAGCACGCGTCGCTTCGACGAGCGCGAACCAGATGGGCAGCGCACCTTGCGAGAGCTTTGATGTCTCGAACGCGCCCGGGAGGGGCGGGGGCCAGGGGGTCGTCGGCAATGAGCTCGCCCAGGAAAGCGGAGAACGCAGGGGTGCCTTGCGATCCAGAAGGGCACCGGCGGCCAGCCTGCCCCGTCAATCCCAGCGCCTCCAAAAGGCTTCAATCACAGAAGAGCAGGAGCACGGTCAGAAGGCTTTCCGGTGTCGGCAATGGCCCAAGATGTCCCAGAGGTGGCCCCGACATCAATCAGAACTACAGGGGGCATGTTCGAGTAGAGGCGGTCTAGCCCGGCATGAGTTGCGTCGTGCTCGGCGGTGTGACGATGGGTGTCCAGCGGCTGCTCGACCTCGCAATGCCGGGGGCAAATCTCAGCAACTACGCTGGGAAGCCGAACTTGGCCTTCTCGACCAGACCCGCTGTGGAACCGAAAACGACCTTCACCGCATACGAGATAGTTAAAGTCCCCTGCGATGAAGCATGAGTTGAGGGTGGCAGAGGTGAGACCTGATTGCGTACCTGATCAGCCAAGCGCAGCCGTCGGCCCAGTCTGGGTCGACGCGGAGGTTGGCAATATGTAAGTTGCCCGTCTCGCTAAAAAAAGGAATGCGCAGCTCTCCGACAATCGTGGATGATGTCTACTCAGTGTGCACTGAACTGCTGGACCAGGGACTGACGAAAGAAAATGAGGACGCCACCAGCATCCTGAGCTTCACAAAAAGAGATGTCCACCTTCATTTCCTTGAAGTCCTTCCTTCGAATCTCGAGGCCCCCTTCATGGCCGCGGCACTCTTGGGCGCGAGCGATGGCGCGCGAGCGGAGGGGGGGAGAGACACCTGCACTTGCTACGGCTGCGAGTACGAGAGGCGGCGATAGAACAGAGAAGTGCCCGGGCGCTCCACGAGCATGTTGAGAGGGGGCTTGTGGGCAAAAAAATTGATTGGGCTGCGGCGGCGCGACAGAAGCCCGGGGCCCCACCATGCGGGCACGGGTGTCGAGAGGCCGCCTCAGCGGCTGAGTCGCTCAAAATGAGCGGGGGAGGCGAGCTCTCGTCACTCGCCCCCTGAAGGGGCCTGTCAGATCGCGCCCGGGTTCTTGTCAGTCGCGGCCAGGATGGCATTGACAGCGGCGACGTCGAGGCCCCACTGCCGCAGCTCCACCCCGTCGGCCTCGGAGTGGTAGTGGTCGTCAGTGACGCACAGCAGATGAATGATGGGCCAGATGTCCTGTTCGTTGGTCAGAGACATGACGCCCTTGAAGCCATTGGCGCGGATGTAGAAGTTCTCATTCAGTACGGGAGCGTCTTGCGCATGAGCTCGATATGGTTGTCGATCTTTGGCGATAGTGCGATTCCTTGCACGGCCCTCGGGTGAAAGGTCGCCCCGTGCGCGGCTCTCGGTCGTCTTGCCGTCGCGTTTGTTGGTCCACTGCGAGCCCTGCTGGGAGTAGCGCAAGCGAAAGCGGCGTGCTTCATCGCCCGAGGGGAACTGGATCATGTCAGTCTGGCCAGTCTCGTGGATCTGCGGTGTGGCATTCTTCAGCGTATCCTTGTAGAGCGTCTCGAGCTAGCCGCAGTGGTTCTGCAAGACAGCGCCTAGCGCGGGTCGCGGCCACGCACCCATGAATACCTTCGCGGGGTCAGTGCCGATGGGTTGGTTCGCATTGTTGTCGATGAGACGACGTTTGCCTTCGTTCGACTTGGCTATCGTTGATCCTAAGGAGGAGGCAACCGAAGGTGATGCGGAGTAGTTGGCGAGCTGTTGCCTGATACTGGAGATGGCGTCGTCCTGGGCCTCCATCCTCGTGGTGATCGGTTCAACAACAGCGGAAACGGCCGTCTGGACCCGCGTGTCGATTGCGGCGGCAAGCGACAGGTGCAGGTTGGTTTGCATCTGCTCGAGCATTGAGGCGGTCTCGGCAGCCAGAACCATGGCTTCTCGTTTGGTGCGGTTCCCCCGTGGCCGCGGCAAGGAGACAGGGGCTTGCGCGAAAGCCTGAAAGCGCGCCCGCGAACCCCTTGAGCCAAAATGGCTTGAGCCAAAGTGGCTTGAGCCAAAACAGCTACGGGGAGAAGGCGGACAAGGATGAGGAGAAGGAAGACCACGCCGACGCCGACGCCGACGCCGACGCCGACGCCGGCGACCCCGGCGACGACGACGACGACGACGACGACACGACGACGACGACAACGGCGGCAACGGCAACGCCGACGACGACGACGACGACGACGACGCCGACGACGACGACGACGGCGACGACGACGACGGCGACGACGGCAACGGCAACGGCAACGACGACGACGAAACGACGACGACGGCAACGACGACGACGGCAACGACGACGACGGCAACGACAACGACGGCCGCGCAACAGAGGTCACTCCTGCGAGGGGTCACTCTTGCGCGTGGCCCAGCCGGTGCCCGAACGAGGCGGGCCGAGCGGCGCGGCGCGCAGCCGCGGGCCAGCCTCGGGGCCCTCGGAGTCGAGCGCCTCTCCCGCGGGCCGCGGGGCGGGGCCGCCGCGGCGCGAGGCGGGGCTGGAGGGCGGCGCCCGACGGGTCCAGCGGGTGCCGCGGCGCCCAAACAGAACACCTGCCGCCTCTCGTCGTCCGCCTCCTCGTCGGCCACCATCCTCGCGCTCGTCGGCCTCGTCGACCTCGACCCCCTCGCTCTCGTCGTCGTCCTCCTCCTCCTTGTCCTTTTCCTCCTCCTCCTCCAGTGGGGGGTGATCTTGGAGCATTGGCCAGCACACTCGACAGGCCGGCACTCCAGTGAGAGGTGATCGTGGAGAATTGCGCCGACGCTTGAGGAGCCCACTTCACGAGATGGACGACGTCGACGACAGCCCAGAGGAGTACCAGATCGGAACCCAAGGCACAGCAGACGCCGAGGGGGTCGAGAAGGAGATGAACCTTTCAGGCAGCCCGATTGCCGCCGTCCAGTACTGCCGCAGAGCCAGTAACGATGGGTGAGATTGCAGCCCTTCTGAAGCAGCAGCTGGCCCCCATGACATCCATTGTGGACACCCTGCGGGGGGACTTCGGGAAGCTTGACATCAAGGTCGCATCCTTCACCGAGACTCTGACCAGCCGACTGGAGGGCATGGAGGCCAGCGTCATCGATACCGACATACGCATTGACAAGATAGTGGAAATGTTGAGGGCATTGCGACCAGCGAGGAGATTGGGAAACTTATCGATGATCGCATCAAGATTGCATTTAAGAGCAATGCCCCCCTCCATAATCCTGCGCCCTCCCCCGACCCGGCGTCTAACAAGCGCTTCGTTACGATGGTGGTCGGGAACTTGGACGGTGTAGGCAATCTGTCGATGGCCACCGAGTGGGTAGAGGGGAAGTAGAAGACTTTCTCAGCCCCTCCCCTATCAAAATCTACTCCAAGGGGCCCTTCACAAGAATCGCTGTCGTGGAGTTTCTCAACAAGACCGCGAGATACAAGGCTGTGGAGCTCTTCCGCAACGAGGGCTACACCACGGGGGACAAGAAGGTGTGGGCCTCCAGGACCGCTCAGCACCAGACCGTGCTGCCAGGAGCTACTGCTTCGGGCCCAAGCGCCTTCTCAAGGACGGATAGAAGATCGGCTACACCATCTCTGTCAGCGAGCACGCCCTGTACGTGGTGACAGTGGGAGGCGAGCACGCCTGACAGCGAAGGTCGTCGACTGCAGCGTGGACTATCAATGTTAAGGCAAATGGTCTACATGGGCGAGCTTCACAACCACCCGAAGATGACAGAGCTTGCAAAGAAGTCGGCTGACCTCATGGCTCGCGCTGCCGAGGGCCTCAAATGGGGTGCAAAAGGAGGGGCCAAGGGGCGCGTCCCCCAAAATTACAAACACCGGTAACCAGAGATGTTTCACCCGCAGTCGGCCATACTGCATCCATGAATGATCGTTTGAAGAATTTTGAGTGCATGCCAGATGCGACCTGAGCTCGGCAAGGCAACTCCAGCACTGGACGAGGAGGGGCTGACTTCCAAGGAGGGCGATTGTATCCTTGTGGAGTGGATGTCGTTCTCGGATCTTGGAACGTCGAGGGCATGACGGAGGCGAAGGAGGACGAGCTACAGATTCACACGGGGAAGCGGGGCATCGACGTGATCGCTATCCAGGAGACTCACAAGCACGAGTCAGTCTATTACACGACCGAGCGTGGGTTTCTGATCACTTTGTCTGGGACCCGGGCTCAAGGGGAACGGCAGGAGTTGGCCGCGGATTCGCAGGAGTGTGATTGGATTCAAGATGGTGGGTGAGAATTTCGTACTCGAAGTTGCGTGTCAGGGGCGGGAAGGTGCTAGTTTTCAGCGTCTATGCCCCTCACAATGGGAAGCCCTACGAAGACAGACAAGAATTTTACAATCAGCTGGGCAATAGTATTGGTGGCACGTCTGGGCATGATCTGGTGTTGGGGGATTTCAACGCCAGGCTGCACAGATGTCGGGGGAGAGGAGCAGGTCTTAGACGACCAAATCTTTGGCGACCCGCACGCCCAGCACAACCCAACGTCGAATCGAAGCCTGCTGATGGTGATGTGCGTCAGAGAGGGGCTGCCGGTCGCCAACACATTCTTCGACCATTCTACGGGTCTCCACCGAGTAATCTGGCTGTGCCGCAACGTTTCAGTTACATTGATTTCCTGTTGTGCGACGCAGAGGGCATGAATTTGGTAGCAGACGTGCTGAAGCAGGCAATACATCGCACTTGCTTCGCACCACGTTCTTTTACAGCGCCGCATGCGCATAGAAATGCCGAAAACGAGCCGCGAGAAGGGCTCGAAACCAAACCTGTCAATTCTGGAGGGCGCGGCGGGCCAGTAGCTGTTCACCGATACTTTCATGAAACAGATGCCCCTATCGTGTCGGCACCAGTCTATGGACAGCCTCAACGCTACCATGGTCGACGCTTTCGCTGCTGCAGGAGAGCGTCTCCCTCGCGAGGCGGAACGAAGAAAGCAGCCATGGGTGAGGAACGTCACCATGGAGCTCATCGCCAGGTGGGACGAAGCAAGACAACAAGGCGATTCCACGTTGGAGAAGCAGCCCAACGGAAGAATGAAGTCATCGATCAAGATGGACAGGGCCTGGCTCGACGGACTCCTGGAGCACGGCGACTGGGACCAGGAACGCAAGCTTCAGAAGCCTCGCGACGCCACTCAGGGGCGATTGCGGGACATACGCGGCCGAGAAGTTGATAGCGATGAACGAACCCAAATGTTGGCCGAACTCTTCGCTACAATGCAATGGGCCGTGCGGCTGGTCGCTGCCGTGGACGATCCGGAACCGTTTGGGCCTCCTCTGGCGGTGCAGGCAGGCCCAATTACCCAGGGGGAAATGCTTGCAGCAGCACGCAAGGTGAAACGGAACCAGGCGCCCAGCGCCCGGCAAGGACGAAATCCCAGCCGAGTTTTGAAAGGCGATCTGCAGCGCAAACACGCCAGCATGCAATGTGGGCCGCTCTTCTCTGCAGTCGGTACTGGGCAGAGGCGTCTGTGCCAGAAACTTGGTACGAGGCGATTGTCACGGCCATCTTCCAAAAAAAGGCGATGTCGCCGAGTGCGGGAACTGCAGGCCAATACCTCTCTTGCCCATCGGGTGCAAACTCTATGCTGCTATTCTACTCGCTCGCTTGAAGGAAGTTGGCGCCAAGAGCCGGATTTGGGACACGCAACTCGGTTGCTGGTCGGGGGCCAGAACGGCCGACGCACTGTTCGTCGCCAGGCGCCTCATCGAAGAAGCTACTCCTCCTTGCCCTTGACTGGGCCAAAGCATTTCACAGCGTATCGCAAGATAGCCTCCTGCAGGCTTTGCTCCGTTTCGGCGTCGCTGACACTTCGACGCCGCAGTGAAGGTGATCTACAGCAACAGGATTTTCCGAGTCGGGACGCTGGCTCCGACTCCGAGCATTGGCCGCAAACGTTCGGCATGTCGCAGGGCTGTCCACTATCACGCTTCTTGTTCTCAATCGTGGTGATCGTCCTCATGCACGTCGCAAAGCGGAGATTAGCTTGCAGCAGGATGGCACTCATCCAGATCTATCCCGGTCAGTGAGCTCATGTACGCCGACCACACCCTCATCGTCGGAGCCGAAGAGGAACGCGCACGCGAAACTTGGAGTACTTATGGGTCGGGGTTCAATTGGGGCAAGCTCGAAGTGCTTTCTGTGGGAAGCGAGACGCACATGGCACAACCAGACGGAGCAGCAATCCCGCAGAGGGACAGCATGATCTACCTGGGTGGGTTGCTGAACGCCGACGGCGGCAGCGGCGCTGAATTGAGCAGAAGGATTGGCATCGCGCACAAGCAGTTTCATTATTCGCGCAAGATTGGGATACATGCGAATATCACACTGAGCAAGAGGGTGCGGATCTTCCAGTCGTGCGTCGTTTCAGGTCTGACGTACTGCTTGCACACTTTGTGTCTCAAAAAAGCAGAAACCCACAAGTTCGATGCTTCCCAAGCGCGGTGTCTCCGAAAAGTGGCCCGCATTGCTCATTCGTTCATCAGTAGCGTCTCGAACGACGCCATCCTAACTTATTGCACCTGTCAAAAATTGAGCAGCCAATTAGCATACCAGCAGCTCGCGCTTCTTGGGAAGGTGGCCCGGATGCCGGACGACAGCGCTGTCCGACGCTGCGTCTTCGCCCCTGGGACATCCTGTTTATCTTGATTGGGAGGCCGCCGGAAACGCGGTCGGCCAAAGAACACGTGGAAGCATAGTGTATTTGCCATGGTGTGCCAAGCAGCCGGCGACGAGGACAGATTGTTCCAACTATAGCAAGGGAGCGCCCAGACGTGGCGACATGCAGCGCGCAATTTCTGCGCAGGTTGCAGTGCAAGTCTTTACTTGCCTTCAGTCTGCATACTACTGCCGACGCACCTCTGACGTATGTGGCGCGCTCGCTCGCTCCTCCTCGTTCGCGTCGTCCTCGAGAACCCCCTCGCTCTTGTCGACCTCCTCCTCCTCCTCGTTCGTTCGCAGCTTCACGGCTGAGAGTGGAAGCCAGATCGCAGAGGGTGGGAACAGAAGGAGCTAGGGGAAGGAAAGCGGCGGCAGCGCAGCAGAGCAGCAGTAGCCAGTAACAGTACAAAAGGTTGAGACTCTTGCGCGCATGGCACTGCGCTTGATGTCCTGCGGAGACTGAATTGTTCCCCTGCCGCGGTCCTGCCTGGAGTCATGAAGCTGAAACAACCACACTTCATGACTGGGTGTTACCATCTCGAGAAAACACTTAGCGTAGCAACTAAATACGCCATTTACCGCTGAAGCGACGACAAAGTGGGCGTTCCCCCCAAACGGGTGCCGACAGGAAGGTACGGCATACACTTTATCACTGAGCAGGCAAGGTATCAGGCCGAGGGAGCGAGGAGCAGCAACATTACATTTGACTGTGCCGAGCGGTCCGCTCAATGCCTTGCGTATTTGATGCATACAACAACCCAAATCCAAGGTATAGGCACGCGTGCAAGGATCCAACCGAACATAACACTTGCATGCGCGGTCGGAATAAATTCGCGGCATCGTTCATCGATGTTGAAAGATGTCATTAACAATTTCTCATCGTTGTAGGTCCAATCGTGTACTGTCGGGTCGAACACCGGACGTCGACTGTTGGGGGAGGAGCGAATGGACCCCGGCTTGTTTGCCTCGTGGCTTTCGAGAAGCATGCACGTTATCAGATACTGCTGGCACGTAAAAACAACAATGGACATCGCGCCCATTCCTCTTGAACTAAGGAGCGCCCCACGACCTCAAAGACTGATAAACTATTGGGGAAGCCGTGCTACGAGCGCTGGCGATATCGCCCCTCCTTTTTCCCAAACCATCCTGAGGTGTTGGGTCCTCGATTTGACAAGACATCACCCCGCGTTCCTCCTCTCCTCTACTCTCCTGTCCTCTCTCTCTCCTTTCCTGTCCTCTCCTCTCCTCTCATCCTCCCCCTCCTTCCTCCTCCCATCCCTGTCTCTGCCCATCCCTACCTCTGCCCTCCGCATGTCAACCATTTCGGCACACCGCTCACACGGTTCGTGGCCCCATAGGGAGCTCCACCGAAGGCCCCAGTGGCAGAGTTCGCATGGCGGCCTCGGACGACTTCGGCACATCCCTCACGAGAATCGTGGCCCCATCGGGAGCTCCACCGAAGGCCCCAGTGGCAGGGCTCGGATGGCGGCCTCGGGCCATCTCGCCACATCCCTCACCCCGTTCGTGGCCCCATAGGGAGCTCCACCGAAGGCCCCAGTGGCAGGGTTCGCATGGCGGCTTCGGTCCATCTCGGCACACCCCGCACGAAATTCGGGCCCCATAGGGAGTTCCGCCGAAGGTCCCAGCGGCAGGGTTCTCATGGCGGCCTCGGGCCACCTCGGCACACCCCTCACGAGGATCGTGGCCCCATAATAAGTGTGGCGGATGTCACGGTGCGCGCGGTGCAGCACATGCGTGAGCGTGACGAGGGTGGGACGCGTGCAGACATACTGCCTGAGGACATGATCGAGAATGTTGCGGTTCGAGACAGTCTCTCGCAATGTTATGTCGCATGGGATCCCTACTCTGGCACTGATGAGTCGTGGGCGCCAGATTTTGTGTCGAGGCGGAGCGGCAAACGGAGACCGGATCCAGAACTCCATCGCTTTCGCACGCCGGATGGACAGACTGAGGAGGAAGTGAGTGAGCCCGCCCTGCCCCCCCCCCGCCCCCCACCTGGCAATGTGCTTGACCCGTCGACCATTCCCAGGCCGCCAGGGACTCCGGAGGCCTTCAGGCCGACGAGGAGCAAGAGGATGCATCTGCCCGCGAAACGTTTGGTCTTCCTCGGCAGGCTGACCAGTTAGCTCCCCTTTCTTCTCCCGTGGCCCCACCCCCGCCAACCCCCTGTTGCTCTCACCGATGAGATCCTAGCTCGGGTTGCGGCCAACCGAGCCGCAGCTCCGGCTAAGCGTGCGGAGAGGTGCGAGGCGAAACGCCGTAGTAAGTTTGGAAGTGGCCCCGTGGAATGCGGATCCCACCTTCGGTGTCGGCTTATTCGATAGGGCGGTCGAGTAGATCGTACCCAGCCCTGATGGCGCTCGTTTTTGAATGGGCCCAAAGCGGTGGCTCCCCGCAGTGCAGCTCCAGGATTGGGTTCATGCTTGACCGTTGCCGTGCAAGCCCTGCTTGGGGTCTTGAGAGCAGAGCGGGGGCCCAGCCCCGAGGGCTTGCCCCTCTTCGCCCGCTGAGCGGCCCGTGGTCCCTCCCCCCCCCTCTCCCCCCCCTCTCTCCTGGCAGGCTGTGCTGACCGCCCCTGGGGGGGCGACCCGTGCCACGGTCGAGCCTGGAGATGGGGAGGGAGCACCTCGGCCTAACCAGAGAGTCGATGTGGTACGAGGGGGCCCCTCCGTTAAGGGGGCACGGGGCCGCCTGCCCTCCTTTCTCTGCCTCTCCTCTCCTGCCCTTCTCTTGGCCACAGGCCGTGATGCTGGGGCTCTCGGAACCTGGTGGTGTCGAGGTCAACCATACATCCAGCCCTTTGTCTAGTGTGAGTGTGCGCGTCTTGAGAGCGCACGTGCGAGCGTGTGCGTTCACCTCCCTTGCTCTCCCCTTCCCTGGTCCCCTAGATGGGGTGACAGCAGGGTGGTGGGGAGGCGTGGGGAGAGAACGGAGCCGCCTCTCTCGCGCGCCCGCCGGCGCCGCCTGCTGCCCTCTCTCTTGCGACTGCAAGCAAGACTTGGACAGGCGCCGAGCGTGCCGCCGTGATCTGCTCTCTCTGCTGGCCGGAGGGCGTCCGGCCGTGGCGACTGCAGGGCCCCATGCGACCCCCAGCCAGGGGGGAAACTCGGCACCCGTTGCGCCGGGCACGTGCGAGGCCCCTCCCGGCTGCCGCCTCCCCCCCGCCAGGCAAGTGCCACGTCCCTCCGCCCGTGGATGGTGGGCCGGGTACGTAAGGAAGGAGAGAGGAGTGCAGGGCTGGGCAGGGCGGGGCTGTGCCGCACGTGCTTCCCGCTGTCGCCTGCTTGACCGTCGGTGGGGCAGAGACTGGCCCTGGCCGCGAGCAGAGTCAGCATGCCACCAGCAGCCAAAGGAGGCATTCCCAGAGGAGCTCGAGTCCCTAGTTCCTGTGAGAGGCCGCCAGGAGACCATACGGGGAGCTCGTACCCACGAGTGCTCCGCGCCGATAAGGAGTAATGTGCCACTGTGCCAGCCCTTTTGGCAATGACCCTCCCTCCCTGGAATGGCTGTGATGATAATCGTGCGAGGTGGTCTCTCGTTCCGCGTGCGGGGCGCGAAGAGAGTGGCCCCCTCTCAGTAACGAAGGCTGGACCAGCCATATTGGGCTCTACGATTATTGTCGCGTTTGAGCTGCACAGCCAGTCCCGCGGCCAGGGAGTGACCGTTCACCTTTCAAGGACCTCCCCGCCGCGCTTGCACTGGATGCACTGTCCTTGCGCATCTTTGCTCGCTGCTGCCATCCTGCTGCTGCAATTCAGAGTTCAGCCCGCTGGGCTCATTTTCCGCGCCCGTGCTGGCCACCTCCCCCTCCCTCCTCGATCACAATCCTTATCCTCCTCCCTCGCCATCTCTGCCAGTGCGTAGACTATTGGCGACATGCTGTGCCGTCACACGAGACCTTGTGGAATGGTGGTGGAGGTGCATAGGGATTGGGAGGGAGGGAGGGATCTGGATCATCCTTGGCGCCCGTACTGCTTGTGCGCGCTGTTGTCTATCTCTAGGCTCTAGATGCCACAGTTCCGCCTGCAGTTGGTTGAGTGCCGCACTCTTCTGGCAAGCTTGGTGCTTCATCAGGGTCGCAATCCAAAAAATCCTCCTCCCTCCTCCCCCCTCCTCCCTCCCTCCCTCCCTCCCTCCTGCCTCCCTCCGCCCTCCCTCTCTCCCTCCCTCTCTCCTCCTCCTCCCCTCCCGCCGCGCTAGGCCACTCGGGCGACCGCCGCGCGGGCCGCCACCGCCCTTCCGCAACATAGCGAGCAACAAGGTCTCCCGTGGCGGGGCGCCGGCGGCCTCCGGCTCGGGCTGCAGGGACTCCCGGAAGAGCTCCCAGCACCTGGCTTCACTGAACATCGTATGCCCGACCCCACCGGCCGATTCTCGAAAATCAGAGCTTGCCTCTACGCCCGGGTGCCCGGGTGCCCGGTTGCCCTGGTGCCCGGGTGCCCCGGTGCCCGGTTGCCCTATAGCTTTATGGCCTCATAGCCCTATAGCCTTACCTATACGACCACCCTTCGGGTGATAAGGAGGTTCGGGGGGGGGGGGCAGGAACCAACGTCTCACTCGATCGGTCTCACTATCGATCTCACCATCGATCCCACTATCGGTCTCGCTCGATCGATCTCACTCGATCGATCTCACAATCGATCTCACTCGATCTATTTCATTCGATCGATTTCACAATCGACCTGACTATCGATCTCACAACCGATCTCACTATCGATCTCACTATCAATCTCACAATCGATCTCACATTCGGTCTCACTGTCGATCTCACTGTCGATGTCACAATCGATCTCACTGTCGATGTCACAATCGTTCGCACAATCAACGTTATCATCATCATCAACATCATCGCCATCAACGTCATCAACATCATCAGCAACATCAGCATCAGCATCAGCATCATCATCAGCATCATCATCATCATCATCCTAATCATCATAATCATCATCATCATAATCATCATCATCAACATTGGGGCACCATCATCATCATCATCGTCTCATCACCATCGTCATCAACATCATCATCATCACCATCATCATCATCGGGACACCATCACCGTCACCATCATCATCATCAGCAGCATCATCATCATCATCATCGGGACACCATCATCATCATCACCATCATCAACATCATCATCATCATCATCATCGGGACACCACCATCATCACCATCTCATCATCATCATCATGAACAACATCATCAACATCATCACCGGGACACTTACATCATCAGCATCATCAGCAACATCAGCATCATCAACATCATCATCATCATCATCATCAGCATCAGCATCATCATCATCATCATCATCATCATCGGGACACCATCATCATCGTCACCATCATCATCACCATCATCATCATCATCACCATCAGCATCATCATCGGGCCACCATCATCGAAATCATCATCATCACCTCATCATCATCCTCATCATCAACATCATCATCGGGACACCATCATCGTCAGCACCATCAAGAAACCCTCATCATCACCATCATCATCTACAACATCATCATCAACCTCATCGTCGCCATCATCATCACCGTCATGATCTTCATCATCATCATCTTCAGCATCATCCTCTCATCATCTCATCGTCAATCTCATCAGGATCATCGACATCATCATCCTCATCATCGGTACACCATCATCATCAGCATCATCAGCAACATCAGCATCATCAACATCATCATCATCATTATCATCATCATCATCATCGGGACACCATCATCGTCATCATCATCATCGGGACACCATCATCCTCACCACCATGGCCATCGGCATCATCATCATCAACATCGTCAACATCATCATCATCATCATCATCATCATCATCATCATCATCATCATCATCGGGACACCATCATCATCACCACCATCACCACCATCATCACCATCATCATCATCATCGTCATCATCATCACCATCATCATCATCGACATCATCATCATCATCATCATCATCAGCATCAGCATCAACATCAGCATCAGCATCAGCATCAGCATCAGCATCAGCATCAGCATCAGCATCATCATCATCATCATCATCATCATCATCATCATCATCATCATCATCATCATCATCGGGACACCGACGGGACACCGGCGGGACACCGGCGGGACACCGCGCCCAACCGGCCCCCGGAAAGGAAACATTTGGTCGGGCCGCGCCTCAGCTGGAGGCGGAACACCGGCGGGACACCGCGCCCCACCGGCCCCCGGAAAGGAAACATTTGGTCCTGCCGCGCCTCAGCCGGAGGAGACTTTCTTCTCACCCGCCCACGCAGCTTCGCCTCGCCCGCACGCACGGCACGCACGACCACGAAACCGAAACCGATTTCCCGATAGGGGGGCTCTCCCTTCCACTTCGATCTCACCGATAGCCCTAATGCCCTGTTGCCCTGTTGCCCTATAGCCCTGTAGCCCTGTAGCCCTGTAGCCCTATAGCCCTATAGCCCTATAGCCCTGTAGCCCTATAGCCCTATAGCCCTATAGCCTTAATAGCCCGATGTTGGAGAGACCCCTCCGCTCTTTCTCTGGGCGCAGGACCACCCTCTTAGATACCACTCCTGGGTGGCCTGAACATGTAAAAACACATGGTTCCAGCTCGGAACCACCATGTTAGATACTTCACTGGGTGGCCTGGACACGTGAAAACACGCGATTCCATCAACAAATTTTGAATTATACGGCATCCGCGCTCCCAAATCCCTCGTGAATTACGTGGCGCCCGCGCTCCCAGGGCCACGACCCCTTATAAATTACGCGGCGCCCGGGCTCCCAAGGCCGCAATCCCTCGGAATGTACGCGGGATCTCGCTCCCCAAGCCGCGATCCCTCATAAATTATTTGGATTCTGCGCTCCCAAAGCCGCACCGCCTCGTAAATTGCGCAGCCCCATCTTGGAGCGCCCAGGCCCGTCAAATTTTGCAAAACGAGCGTTTCGCTCGAGACATCCCTAGAATTTCTGCGCGCAGGACGCGCCATCCTCGAGCGGGCACGCAAAAAGTGAACATGTTCATATTTCTTGTGTCCTGGTCGGGGCTCCAGACCTCGGTTTTTCTTCGGGATTCTGCTAAAAATGCTCTGCACCCTTTTTCTTCACGAGTGAAATCGGGTGTCTGCAGACCCCGTTATCTATCGAGGATTCGAGATGGGGGGCGCACTTTCCTCGAGCGGGCACGCGCGAAATGCATTTGTCCCACGTCCTTCCGCGGGGTTGACCAACTAAAAAAAGAGTCCTGGGCCGGAGCCCTTTCCGGGGAAAAGTGTGCAAAGTACATACAGGAAATGGGACGGGATGGGAACGGGAGTACATGGGCGGGGAGGGCAATGCTAGTAGAGGGGATGGGAGGGGAGTAGAGGGGATGGGGGTAGATGGGAGGGGAGGGGAGTAAAGGTGATGACTGGAAAATCCACAAGAAGCGGATAAGGGGAGTAGGAAGGGGGAAGGCGCACGGAGGAGGCGCACGGAGGAGGCAGAGGCGGACAGAGGGAGGAGGACTGGAAAGGTGATGGAGGTGTATGGTGACGGAACTCGATGGGGGAGGAAGACTATGGAGGCTAGTTGCGAGGCGGACGGAAGAGGCAGATGGGGGAGCAGGATTGGGGATGCGAAAGGAGGAAAGGAGATCGGGGAAACGGACTGGAAGCAGGATAGGGGAACGGGATTGGAGATACGGACGGGAAGACGGATAGGGGAGGCGGATGGGTGACGTGGATGAGGAAAGGGGCGAGGGATGCGGATAATGTTTTCCTTCCACCATAACTACAACCAATAGGAGGACGGGGGAAATAGGGTGAGGGAATGGGATGGAGGAGAGGGATGGGGGAAGGCGGGTGTGGGATCAGGGATGAGGTGCGGATTGGAGATGAGGGATGAGGGATGAGGAATGCGGATGGAGCGGGAAAGGAACAGCAAAAGAGGGAGTGGGATGGGGGACGGCCATGGGTGACGGGGACGGGGGAGGAGGGAGGAGAGGCATGGGGGAGAGCGATAAGAAAGGCGGACGGGGGATGAAGATGGGGGATGCGGCTGGGAAAGCGGACGGGGGAGGAGGCGACTGAAGCATAACACGCGAGAGCAAAAGGGAGTGGAAGGGGTGGGAGGACGGAGGGGAACCCGGCGCGGATGTGGAACCTCTGCGGGACCCTTCAACCCTGGGCTCGGACGAGGCCTCGACAAGAGCGTCCACGGGAAGGGGCATTTGGGATCAACACCCCATCTTTGGGACTGCATGTTCATGGCCTCGGCCAGGCGCTCGGGCGGGGGGCGGCCGACTTGAGAGGGACCCAAGTCTGAGGAGCACGAGGAGGAAGGAGGGAAAGAAGTCAAGGCAAACGTGCATTCGCATCAACAACCATACGTCTTACGACATCTTTCTGGCCATGTACATTTGATGCTCAAGTAAAAAGCGGCGCACAAAGTGCTAGCCGTGGAGCGCATAGCCACAAACTGACCTTCAAGGCTGCTTCGTGAGACCATACGAATCAAAGAAAAAGGCTCACTGTGTTTGAGTCTCTGTTGAGGCCTCAAAGCAAGACTAGCCTTGTCGCAAGGCCAAATACCGTGTGAACCACTATGCCATTAAGCGCGTACGGACAAACAAGGCGAGAGAGGTAGGGCAACGCCAGCACTACATCTATACACAATGACGCAGCTCGGGTACAACAGCTCGTCGAATCGAATGACGTTTGCGCGAGAGGAAACAATTCTATCACAACAAAACGCAATATCATGTTCACCTGACCAAGGTCGCGCATTATGTTTCAATCCTGCCCGCGTGCACGAATCGACGCTCACACATTACACATCGTGCTTTGCGCTCCACATGTTCGCGCGGCAAACCTCATGCGCCTGGACATATTTCCAAAAACGGTTCACCCACCTCCCCTCCGCCTGCCGCCCCCCCCCCCACACACACACACACACACACACACACACACACACACACACACACACACTCACACACACACACACACACACACACACACACACACACGCACGCACGCACGCACGCACGCACGCACGCACGCACGCACGCACGCACGCACGCACGCACGCACGCACGCACGCACGCATACTCACACACACACACACACACTCCATCGTCCCCCTTCCACTGGCGCAGGAGCTCCAGAGAGCGAGATCCGTCGTACCAGCCCAGAGTCGCGGGCACGGTCGCTGGGCATCGTTGCGCACAAACTTCAAGCCCCGAGCCCCCCCAGGATTGGGACAAGCTGGTCGCTGGTTCAGCAGGGCGTTGCCAAGGAAACATCCACCTTCGCGGCGCAAGGACGGGCACGGAAAAATAGCATGGAGGGCAGGCCCGTGCATTCAACAGGGGGTTCGCGCCTCGTGGCCTACGACAAACTCAAAGAGACGCGGCACAGCCCTGCTCACAAAGCCAGGGGCCGAGAAGCCAGATCGAGTTGGTAGCGGTCGCGCAGACGCCACTCGAAACACGCGGAACAGACGGGTAAAATAACGTGCTCAGAGCAACAAGCCTACGGAAACTAGACACGCTCAAGTGTGAAAACATGCATACGGAGACTAGGCATGGCCACATGTGAACCAATACGAAGGCAAGCGGGACCGCCTTCACCGAAGCTCACGACGAGGCACGCGCAAAGGTCCGCGTACATGCCTCTCGGATTGCACGCGGGGCGGCTGGCCCATCCGCCTCCTTGAACCCATGCTCCTGCTCCAGCGTCGGCAGCAACTGGGGCTGCTGAGACTACCAGTGGCTAGTGCTGGAGACCATCGCTGACGACTATCAGGGTCAGCGGGGCTGGCTAGCAGGGGCTAGGGGGGGCCAGTGCGACGATCTAGCGTTGGCAGCAATCAGGGGTCGTGTCAAGTAGGGGCACGTGTCTTGAACCAGTTCTGGTGCAACGCACGGCTAATTGAGCAAATGTGGGCTGGCAGTGGCGAGTTTCGGAACACACCGCTGGCCGCACCTAGGGCAAGCGAAGCAAGTGGAGGATCGCAATTAAAGGCGAGTATCGGGAACCAGCGTTGGCGGCAGCCAGCCAGGGCTAGGGGGACGATTGGAGCTCGCAGGAGCTAGCATCGGGAACCTGCACTGACGGCAGTCGAGGGGCAGGGTTCATGGGGGCTAGCAGGAGCTGACGGAAGGAACAAGAAAGGGCTAGGGGCTAGTGGGACCCCACCACCCGAAGCAGGCACACCTGAAAAACAGGCGCGACACTTCTGATTCCAATATTTGCAAGCACTCCTTGGAAAGGAGCATCTTCGGTGCAAGAACTGGTGCCCAAGATGGCATGTGGGGGTAGCCAGAAGTCTAACAAGAGATAGAGAGTTCAGACAGACTAACAGTGGCCCCTGTTCACAAACATGGAATGACCTGACGTAAACTGCACGCACTACCCATCACAATAAGCTTTATCGAACAAGGAGTGTGCAATGTCTTACGCAACCGCGTTATTGCACTCCCTTGCCAATGTCATTGTCTTTGCGCCTGCTAGAAATATATCATAACGTCCCCTGTCTGGCATGTAAGAACATCTACGTGATAGAGAATCCTGCAACGCATTCGTTTCACATCTTCCTATCAAGCGATCTGCACGTCCGTTTCCAAACTCTTGGTCCCTCCGTCGGTGTGACACGGGGACGCAGTATCCGTTGCCTATGTCGGATAGCCCACGGTCTCAACCAACGCAAAACCACTGGTGAGATAAACACTGCTCAGGAAGCAATCGAACGAGCATGAACGGCGGAATCAATCACGTTACAAAGGCTATCTACAGTCGCGCAAAACGCCACACCAAGGATGTAGACAAGTGACGTTGCTTGTCGCGATCATCCAACTCTGCGCTTCGCTTTCACAAGAAAGCCACGGGTGAGACCATACATGGTTTGACCTTCTGCCTTTTCACGTTTTCTCTGGGTGGAACAAGTGCTTGCCAGCGCGGACCGCAAACAGTGTTATCTTGCACTCTGGGTGTGAAAACGGTGTGGTGCACGCTATGTGGTGCGAGTGATGCGCGCTGCGAATGAGATGGTGCCACATGTATGTGTGTGTGGTGCAAGCTGCGTGGTGGAAACAACTTGGTGCAGGCTATGCGTCGCGTGGTGCAAGCTATATGTGGAGGAGGCTACACGGCGACCGCCCTGTGGTGAAAGCCATGGGGCGTAGGCACAGTGGGGTCAGCTGTGGGATGCAAGCAATGCTGTGCAAGCGATGCGAGGCGCCCTCGAGACGCCCACGGCCGCGCGCAAGCGTCTTATCTGACGCCTTACCCCTCCCTCCCATCCGTTACCATGGCATAGATCTCCTCTCGATTCGCACAGTCTGATGTCGAGCAGGGCAATCACCCCGAGAGGGTACGAGATGCATGATATCGCACGGCGTAGCACGGCGTAGAAGAGCACGACATAGCGTGACATGGCATGGCATGGCGTGGCATTACGTAGTGACGCATTGCAGCGCAAAGCGTGGAATCGCAGAGGGGCGCGTAAGATGAGAGCCAACGCTGTAACGGGAACACGATGTGGAAGATTCGCAACAAAGAAATGAGGTCAGCGCTGCAGCGCGGGTACGATTTGGAAGGACCGGGAACCAGAAAACAGCGAACGCTGTAGCGGGAGCGCCATTCTGGAAACTCCGAGAACGCTCGGGCTGAAAACACAATATATGACCGACCACCGTTTGCTTAAATGATCTTGAAGGGGTGAGGGCCAGAATATGGAGCCAACGCTGTAGCGGGAGCTCCATTCTGGAAACACTGAAAATGCTCGGGCTGAAAAGGGCATCTATATATGTGTATATATATATATATGACCGACCACCGTTTCTATGATCTTGAAGGACTGGGAGCCAGAACATGGAGCCAACGCTGTAGCGGGAGCGCCATTCTAGAAACACAGAAAACGCTCGGATTGGACGAAACCCATCTGACCGACCACCTTGTATGATTTGGAAAGAACGGGAGCCCAAACATGGAGCCAACGCTGTAGCGGGAGCGCCACCCTGGAAGCACCGCACACCTTCGAAAGGGGAGAACACATATGATCAGCAACCATGGTGGGGATCATGTCTGTAAGACAACAGTACGCGGAGGGGGGCAGGCTACGACCTCGGGGCCTTCGAGGCAGAGGAGAATAGTACTCATAGCGTGTACTTTTCGAGGAGGTGGGGGAAGGGGAGGGGGTGGAGGGAGGGGAGGATCAGGTGCCTCTCCCGCTCTCGCACGCCCTGGGCGTATGCAACTCGTGCGGCCGAGGGCTCGCGCACTGCATCACTGCGACAAGAAGGGGGCCATGGGGAGAGGTAGGGCGGGGCTCGGGAGAGAAGGCGCCTGCGAAGTTGTGCTGCACGGAGGCCTCCTGAAAGATGGCCTGCGCAAGAGACACCATCCGCCTCCTCCTCCTCCTCCTCCTCCTCCTCCTCCTCCTCCGCCTCTTCATCCTCCTTTTCCCTCTATCGTTCCCCTGCACTCCCCAGCCCCCCTCCCATTCGACTCTCACCCCAGCCTGCTCCTCCCTCCCTTTTCCTTCTCTCAGCCTATCCCCTACCATCTCCTTCCACCTCCTCCTCTAAGCACTATCTCCCTCCTTCGTTCGACAGTCATCCCTCTTCCTACTCCCCCTCGACCCCCTCTCCGTTCCTACTCCTGCTTCCCGGCGGATCCTCCTGTGTCCTCTTCGAGGGAGGTGGGGGGGGGGGGGGCACGGGCAGGGGTGGCAGGAGTGAGCCAAGGGGGTCTGGGAAGGAAGTGAGCCGATGGGGGAGGAAGTAAGCCAGGGAGGAGGGGATCTACAGTGACGAAGTGCACGGGACGGCCAAGCAGGGGGCGAGGAAGAGAACGCGACAGGAGGCCAAGGCAGCCATGGATGGAAGGAAGCGGGAGGCGTGGATCCCCAGGGGAATGGAGGCCACCCCAGTGGAGCCGAAAGGTCGCCGTGCGCCGCGCGCGGGGGGGCCCAGGAAGAGGCACCGAATCTGCCAGACGGCTGCCGCCACTGCGTGTCCTGCCCACTGCCGCCAGCAAGCGGACAGGTGAAGAAGGACCAGACAAGACCAAAGTGGAGTAGGAGGGGGTGTTAAAAGTCACCGCCTTCACAAGTTTCTTGAGATCGTCGCTTTCGTCGTCATTGTGGTCGTTTTCGTCGTGTCCATCGTCGTGGTTTCCTTCGACTTGTGAGTCGCCGTAATGGTTTCCGTCGTGATCGTAGTCGTCGTGATAGTTTTCGTCATGTTCGTCGTCGCCGCGGCCCTTTTCGTCGCACAATGCACGAGGAGGGAGGAAGGAGAGCACACGAGTAATACAAGAGGATAGTGAAGAGAAGGACTGGGAAGTGAGCAGGGGGGACGAGCAGACCCAAAGGAATACCACCACCCAACATCCAGATGCAAACTCGATGCAGACCAACCCACACACAACAAGGAATGCCCGTAACTGTCAAATCGACATTGCTGCAACTAGATGCATACTTGTGGATGTGTGTGTGTGTGTGTTTCGTTTGGGGTTCCCGCTCCTGATCACCACCACGTGCGGCTTGCCAATTGACGGGAATGGGGCGCCACTATGCTCAAACAAGCCTGGGAGGAAGAGAAGGAAGAAACCAGCGTCTTATTACCGTATTACCTGACTGTGGCAGCTTGGGCCGCTCCGCCGACCAAACAGCGGAGCCGTCTGGCATATCCCGTAGACCCTTAACCAGCAAAACGTTGGCATCTCTGGGGAACGATTCTTACTTCCGCCGGCTTCCTCTGGCGAACCCTCCCCCGCTCTACTTCCACCGCCTTCCGCCAGCCTTCCGCCGCCTTCCGCCGAGGAAGAGACATCAGCCCCTCGATTCCTCGAAGAGGCCTCGTCTGCTGCTGGGCTGCTGGGCTGTTCGCCCTGCGCGCAGCGCGCGCCAGCACTTGCGAGGCCATCCCTCGGCAAGAGTGCGGGGCGGGAGGCCCATCGGGAGCCGGGGGGGGAGCATCGTTCAACCAACCCCTATCATCATGGGGATTACCTGGCCCACCTGGCCGGTGTACCCCCGTAGATGAGGATATAGGAAGTTTCCTTCGGGTTTCGAAGGGTCGATCCCCATCTGGGAGAGTGGGATGGTGGGGGTCTGGAGAGGGATGTGGATGGGAATGGGGATAGGGGCCGGTTAAACGATACTGATCTCTGGAGCGGGGGGGGGAAGCGAGGCGGGCACTGCAAGCAGTGCAGTGCGGACGGGAGCGGGGAGGACGCCATGCGCCGGTTGCAGTCGGTGGGATGGCCACAGTGCGGGGGGGGGGGGCGGTGGAGCGACGGCCGCGACGACGGGGGGCGGCGGGACGGGAAGGGCGGGTGTGGGACGAGGGGCGGATTTTACCGTTAATGTCTTTGCGCGGCCTGGATTACACCATGCATTTTTGCGGTCGCTGACCGTGTGGCCAAAGTGTCTTGGGTTACGGGTCGTTCGGCCGATGGCGTCCTGGCGTTCAGCTCCGCAAAGTACTGCATGTGCAAACTGAAGCACCTACCATTTTCAACGCCCAGCGGGGGACGGGCATCGAAGAGTGGGTCGTCTGCAGCGTGGCCAGCGGGGCGTCTTCCCTGTCGGGGGGAGCCCTCGGAATCGACTTCGAGCCAGCCAGCACTGAATGTGTCGGTGAGCTCGGGCCTTGCCAGATTCAGCGCTCCTGGCCTTGCACGAGAATCATGTCGCCAGCCAGGGCAGGATCATCGAGCCGGGCGAGACCCGAGTCAGCACTTCCGACTTCCCCTCCTCAGCCTTTCCTCCCGTCCTTGCCGCACCTTCTCATTGGCTTCCTTTCACACGCCACCCCCTTCCCACGTCTGCTCCTCTCTCCCTCTCTCTCCCTCGACAAGGGGCCGGGGCCTGTGCGAGCGTGTCCAGGTGGGAGCAAGTGCATGCGCCGCACCTGCGTGTCAAAGGGGGGAATACCAGCATCGGGATTCAATAAGTACAGCATGAGGAGATCGAAGAGGGAGTAGAAGAACGCGAAGGGGACGCGGAGGGAAGGAGGGAATGGAAAGGCGGGAGTAGGGACGAAAGCTGGAACAAAGAGGGGACGCACGCATTGCTCCCTTGATCGCGTTCCTGGAAGACGCTGCTCGCCCTGGTTTCATCCAAGCGATCAGACACAAGATGAATCAAGTGCCAAGGCCAGTCGTAAACTAGGTGTGTATGATAGTAGCAGTGTGCGCGGCAGATTGATGTAGATGTCGAATCTCAGCCTGCGAATAATCGAGCATCGCATGCAGGATGCACGGACACGCAGCAAAAGAGCTCGGATCGGCGCATAATCTAGGCACTGGAGTCCATGAACCCAAGCACTGGCCCCACCGCCGAGCGGCTACACAGCCACCTGCACGCAGTCCAACGAGCTAGCGCGCCACCGTGGAACTCTTCAGCGCAGCAACAGGCACTAGGACAAAGCGAACCTGCAACGCCAAGAGAGGCGGGAACCAGGAGCCAACAGCTGGGTCGTCCAACGGGCCAACTGACAGTCTGGTGCCATGAACGCATGCCGCTTCGGAAGCTTGTAGCACCTACTTGCACCAACGACCTCCCGCACAGAGACCCCTCAAGCTTTCGAGAGTGCCATGGACCAGAAACCAACGCCCGAGCCCAGCCCGCCGCGGCCATTGACTTCCCACCTGCGACTGCCACATCGTATCGAGGCGGGTCGTTACGCACGGCACCCATGAAATCTGAACCCTGTCCTTCATGATCAGAACTCACGGAGGGAACAATGCAATAACAACACATAGAAAGGAAACAGCAGAGACGAAAGCCCTTGATGTCGCCGCTGCTGAGGACGTCAATCACTCATTCCCGCTTCCTTGAAGCTGAGACCTTTGATAGAGCTAAGGCGCGGGCGGAGATTCTGTCCATCGTTATGACCCCTGTCACGACTCTGAATGCACCACCCCTTTGCGGTACGGGTCCCGCTGCTGTCCTCCGCTCTTCCGGTCGTGGCGCCCCTTCACGTGTCCTGGCCCGCAGTGCGCTCGGGCCCGTCGCCGCGCGGTTTACCAGCCGGACGCCTGGCGAGCCGAGGAACCAGAACATCTGACACGTCACGGGCCCAGCCAGGGCCACCCGCAATCGCAGCGACGGCCCAGCCAAGGCCACCCGCAGTCGCAGCGACCTCTCCACTGAAGGCCGTCCCAACGACAGCCACTACCAGTGCCGCGGAAGCTGAGGCGGCGGGTGACCGAGGAGTCTCTGTGGGGGCGGGCGGCGCCTCGACGGCGCGAGGAGATAGCGGAGCGCGTTTGCGGTGGACGAGGCGAGCACGATGGCAGAGCGCCAGACTCGCTCGGGATGTCCTTGGACGCAGGGGAGACAGTGGGAGCATGGTGGTCCTTCGCGCAAAATGGCAACGGTCGAAGAGCTCGCGGCCTCCAGCTGCAGTTGTCTTCGTTTTCCTCGTCCTCGCCCTGCAAGGCCTTGCAACATCAAGGCGAACCAATGTGCATTGAAACAAGACGGTGTCTTTGCCTCGCTGAGGTGGCCGACAACGCTGATGGAATCATCCAGGCTGCCGCAACAGAAACAAATGCTGGGACAAATGGCCGCTGTGGGTCAGTGGTCATGGGGACCCGATTATCTCCCTAGAAATGTTGAGCCTTTGCCCTTACCCCGCGCCCTGCCCTTGCTGGGTTCCGATCGGTGCGTCCTTCCAGGCGTGATGCGCGCTGGGCGTACTGACATGCTGCTGGATATGTTCATGGCTTCGTCGCTACCGAATGCACTGCAGCCGTAAGAGCACTGAGATGTTCGCCGCCTGGCACTGGTGAGTAAAGTACTGGCATGAGCCACAAAAAGACCCATTGGTGTCAACAAGCGCATGCACCATAGATGACGTATTCGTCTTCGTATTCCTGAGACGGCGGTTCGAAAACAATACGAGACAAGTTACATGTTCCTGGGCGGCTAGACCTTCCCTGACATTCACATGGCACCGCCCTTCGTTCTCCTCTGCCGAGTAGATCCCCTGAGGCGCGAAGTCGTTCGGCGCTTTGGTTGTCGACGCGCCCCGTCGCGTCGCCGAACTGGCCTCTTAGAACTCATCCGATAAGCTTTACGTCCGTCTGCTTACGAGGGCTCACCAGCACGAGGTTTCGCGCTGCCAACTGGAATCGGGCGCGTCGGCGCGCCTGATTGAGAGCAAGCCGGTGACTGTGTCGGAAACGGTTCTCGCACTCTTGCGATCGGAGGCAACGCTGGTTTGCAACATTTGGCGGCGAGCCCAGGGGGGAAGTGAGAGAGGGCAGGCCTTCTCAAAGGCGTCGGGGCGTCTCAGAATCCCCCGCGCCTTCTGAACAAATGTTCAAAGCCTTCTGCGAAGGCCGAGCCGGCTTCTCAGAAGACCGGAGGGCTTCTGAGAAGCCCCGCCACCTTCTGAGAAGGCCTGCCTCCTCTCACTTCCTCCCCAGACTCGCCGCCGCAGAGACCAGTACGTCTGCCTACCTTGGTGCACCGCTCCTGGGGATAACGAGTTCCGTTCCCTCCAGAATGTTCCCGCACCTCCTCTGCGTCGAGCCACTCATATTGTTCCTTGGAACTGGCCCGACAAGTGGTACGAATAATACTGCCGGAACGTTGTTTATTACGTAGATATGGGCCAGCCGATGCGGGACTATGGCTTCACTCTTTTCAGGGAACACACGGCTCACGTTCACTCTCAGTCTCCAGCTCGGGTTTGTTCATCTGACTGACAGGCCGTATACATGCACGCACGCGGTGATACTCCCGAAGGCGCCGTAGTGTCCAACTCACTGAGGCTGAGGTCTTGTAGAGAAACGGCTCCAAACGTACGCCCAAGTCGGGCAAGGGTTCTTTGCGGATGGTGTCCTCGTAGGTCACTCATAAGATAGACCACGTTTTCAACTCCTCAGACGTGCGTGGTCGACTCGCCCATGCACATACGACGACCTTCCACCCTACACCACTCAAGCTCCTCTAAAGCCAAAATCTAAATGGCGTCGTTCCTCTGGCATGATATCGTCCCAACGGGGTGCGCTCTCGCCAGACAAATTCAATTATCACACTGGGTCGCCCTGGATCGTTCTAGTGTGCGACATAATCTCGCCCCCACTCACACTCCACAAACCTACCCCAACCACCACCACACGCATCTATCGCTGTCGCTTGGCAAACACATGACGGCGCTCCACGGCAGCTGCAAATATCCTGGCGAAAGACCCAACCATATGAAGTTGTGGGTACCGCAATTGTGAATATGTTCTTCCGTGAAGTTCCCTATGGGGCCACGAAGCGCTGCGTTGGGCGGGGGGGAACGCATGCGGGCGGTAGCACTGGGGCCGTCGGTGGAGCTCCCCATGAGGCCACGAAACACTGCACTTGATGGGTGAACGTGCCAAATTAGGCGTGTGGGACGCATGCGGGTGGTCCCATTGGGGGGTTCGGTGGAGCTCCCCATGGGGCCGCGAAGCGTTGTAAAGGATTGGCGAAAATGCCACATTGGGTGTGGGGGGCGCATGCGGACGGTCCCACTGGGGGGTTTCGGTGGGGCTCCTTATGAGGCCACGAAGCGCTGTACTGGGTGGGTGACAATGCCAAGTTGGGTGTGGGGGACGCATGCGGGCGGTCCCACTGGATGCTTCGGTGGAGCTCCCTGTGGGCGGCGCACGCGGGCGGTCTCACTGGGGGCTTCGGTGGAGCTCCCTACTGGGCCACGAGACGCTGTATTGGGCGGGTGAAAATGCCCAAATGGGCATGGTGGACGCATGCGGGCGGTCCCATTGGGGGCTTCGGTGGAGGTCCTTATGGGGCCACGGAGCGCTGTACTGGGTGGGTGACAATGCCAAATCGGGTGCGGGCGACGCATGCGGACGGTCCCACTGGGGGGTTCGGTGGGGCTCCCTATGGGGCCACGAAGCGCTGCACTGGGTGGGTGACAATGCCAAGTTGGGTGTGGGGACGCACGCGGCCGGTCCCACTGGGGGCTTCGGTGTGGCTCCCAATTTTGCCACGAAGCGATGTACTGGGTCAGTGAAAATGCCGAATCAAGCGGGCGGTCCCACTGGGGGCTTCGGTGGAGCTCCCTATGGAGTCACGAAGCGCTGTACTGGGTGCATGAAAATGCCACATTGGCACATTGGGCGTGGGGGACGCTTGCGGGCGGTCCCACTGGGGCCTTCGGTGGAGCTCCCTATGAGGCCACGAAAGGCTGTACTGGGTGTGTGAAAATGCCAAATCGGGTGTGGGGGACACATGCGGGCGGTCCAACTGGCGGGTTTCGGAGGGGCTCCCTATGGGGCCACGAAACGCTGTGCTGGGTGGTGACCATGCCCACTTGGGCGTGGGGGGCGCATGCGAGCGGTCCCACTGGGGGTTTCGGTGGGGCTCCCTAGTGTGCCACGAAAAGCTGTACTGGGTGAGTGTAAATGCCAAATTGGATGTGGGGGGCGCATGTGGGCGGTACCACTGGGGGCTTCGGTGGAGCTCCCTGTAGGGTCACGAAGCGCTGTACTGGGTGGGTGAAACTTCCAACTTGGGCGTGGGGGGCGCATGCGGGCGGTCCCACGGGAGGCTTCGATGAGGCTCCCTATGGGGCCACGAAGCGCTGTACTGGGTAGGTGACAATGCCAAGTTGGGTGTGGGGGACGCAAACGGGCGGTCCCACTGGGGGCTTCGGTGGAGCTCCCCATGGGGCCACGAAGCGCTGTGCTGGGTGGGTGACAATGCCAAGTTGGGTGTGGGTGAGGCATGCGGGCGGTCCCACTGGGGGTTTCGGTGGGGCTCTCGATTGGGCCACGAAGCGCTGTACTGTGTGGGCGAAAATGCAAAATTGGATGTGGGGGACGCATGTGGGCGGTACCACTGGGGGCTTCGGTGGAGCTCCCTGTGGGGTCACGGAGCGCTGTGTTGGGTGTGTGCAAATGCCAA